ATTGTGTTTAAAAATTTCCAATTGAAGTTTTTGTTTAAGAAAAAGGGATTCGCGATTTTCGTTTGTTATGCTAAAAAATTTTCGTGATAAAGTTTTTTAAAAAAAATATATATGTAGACTGTGAAAAATTGCCGTTAGTTGAAATGACCTATTGGCTGAAATACAAAGTTATTTAATTTTGAATATTTATTAATTTTTTTTATTTTCCCCACTAGTAAGAGGGTTTGTATTAATTGACGAAGGAAAGGATGATATGCATGTTGCATCCCAAATAATGGATTTCCCATTGGACCAGGGAGTGCAGGTTATTAATCCATTAACATGTAATATTTCAAAATGAAAAAATGTACCTTCGTACGAAAATACACTGCATAAACTCAGATTCTCCGTATACATAAAATCTGCCATTTAAGGCCTCGTAACATGGTAACATGTCCTTTAAGTTATAAAACACAAAGAACACTTCTCCATTATTGGGTTCTCGTGTATATTGTGTATCCGAGTTGTCCGTCAGTTCAAATAAAATATCGTTAACAGATACAGAAAATGGAAATTTACGATTTTGAAGATGTACATGTTTTCAAATAAATTTATTTTTTTTGTAATGACATTTTGTAAAACTTTTTTTTTTACCTTTATAATATAAGAATATTACCAAAAGGAATTTTTTTTTTATTTTGATTTTTTTTTTATATGTTAAATTTAGATATTCAAATATATAAAAAAATACGGTGAGTTTTTTTTTAACCCAACATATTTAAAGACAGGGGCACCATGTATATAATGATGTGGTCATCCAAAAAAAAATATAAAATACGTTTTCAATATATCTATCCACATTTTATTATGTTCTACACACTATATATATATTATCTAAAAAATATAAATTAGAATACATATAATCAAAACGAAAAACAAAATAATAAAAAGTTAAATTATTGAATTGTAAAAAGTTAAATTGTACAAGGTTAAATCGTGAAAGGTTATATCGGCGACAATATCATGACCCAGGAACCTCACTTTATTTTTAAAGAACACACTTTTGATGAAGTTAGGTACTAACCCAAACAATGAAATTCTTTCAAACACTTTTTTTATATTGTTTATATGAGCTTCATCGTTTTTTCCGGTTACAAGTAAATCATTAATGTAAAATATGACATCTTTCATGTCACCGAAGATCTGGTCCATGATCTGTTGGAAGATTGCAAATTTAAAAATGAATATTATAGTTGACTAGTAATTTTGAACTCGGCTAATTATATTATTAAATATGTTATTTCGATTAATAAATGATTTTAGGGCTATAAAATAATTTAAATAATAAAAGTCAATTAAGTTTCAAATGTTAATGCTAAATTAATATTTAGACATTATGAGTAATATTGATATTATATTTTTAACACAGAATTTGATTGCAAGCTGACATAGTGAATATAATTTATATATATTAATCTAATCCAATAATTAAAATTGCACTTATAAAAATAAAAATTTAGATAGTTTAATTAATTTTTAATTATTAAAATCAAATATATATAATACTTATAAGAATTAATTATAAAAGAAATCGTTCAGGGGACTAACAAAATACTTATTTTTAGTGCAGGGGGATATTAGGGAGCTACTAAGAAAAAAACGTTTTTAACCCTATAGTACAGATGAAAAAAAATCACGCGAGGGAATAGGTTGGGGTCCCTCAAACCTCAATTTAGAAATACTATATACATATTAAAATTAAATTAATTTGTAGCTTCCATACTTTAAAATTATAGTAAATAATAAGTTAATGATTTTAACTGTTATTTTAATAATTTAATGGTATTTTAACATTACATGACAACTTTTGTAAAAAAAATATCTATAAATAAAATTGATGATATATAAATGTTTATTTAAGGTTCAAAATTACTATTTACTATAATATAATTTTTAATTGATAAAAATGATATGTATAAGAAAAGTATTTATATGTGCATAATATATCAATGCTAAACAAATTTTAAAAAAGTTAAACGGATGAACAGAAGGGGGTCTACGTGTAATTAAAAGTAATTATATTATAGAATTAAAAGATTAGTTAACATGTTTGTAATCGAATTTAAAACAAATCTTGAATTATAATCTAAAATAATTTTATCATGAAATCAAGAGTCCATTTGTATAAAGTTTAAAAAAAAATAATGATTAAATTAAAAATATCTCAATTTTTGTTTAAATATTAGGATGCCAATCCTTATTTCAATGATAATTTAATAATCCTCTTAACAATTACTTTAACAGATATGGTATTATTTTTTAAAAAATAATTTATTCAGTAAACTTAACTTAAAACACATTAAATTGGAAATGAATGAGATATTATTTGTTTAGAAGTTCGATTTCATTGCCGTTTGCCTATTGGCTCGCATTAACCTCAGTCTCCCGTAAATACATAAATATTATTTTCATATCTTATCTATGTTAAGATAGCCATGAATTTTTATAACCGAATTTAGCAATATATATGATCAAATGTGAGTGTCCAAGACACATTCCTAAAAATTGATAATCAATTTGCGTTAAAATAACATGAACAAATTTGGCCAGAAAACTCCGGGCTAATTTCAATGTGATGAGATGGGGTACTAAATATTAATTGTTATAATTCGTATTATTTTTTTTAAAGAAATTATTATCATTTAAAAAAGTATATAAATTGAAATATCACGAAAATAACTATTATAAAAGTAATTTCATTAAATGACAAAGTAAGGTTAATTCTTAAAAATTATACGCAAAATAAAATGTTAATAAGAAAAAATTAATTAATTAAAAATTCAAACAAATTTTTTTGGAGCCATAATTGTAAAATAATTTTTTAACACACATATATATATATATAATAAAATTTTCAACATGGGAACAACTACCCTGCCTTTTCATTTTCACCGGATAGTCCTTCTCACTTTTATGTGCCAAGCTTGGATTTTATCTCAAGGTAAGCGTAATGTCAATCTTATTCAATCTTTCACATTTTTCTTCTTCTTCTAAACTTAAAGAACATCACGTTAGCGAGATGGAGATAAATAGGCACTAAAAAAATTTATAAGCTATTAATGTTTACTGTCAGATCGCGTAATCATTTTAATGTTCGTATTTGCCTCAATAAAATCGCCTTATATCATATAAATTGTCCAAAATTTATAAAAATTCTCTTGCTTAAAATACGTATTCTGATGAAGTTATGATTATTCAAATTTAAAAAAACAAATGGGCTAAATAATTGATTTGGGATGATAGTTAAATTAAACTATTTGTTTTATAAGTTTTCAAAAATTTTCAACAATCTGATTTTGCCAAAACAAATTTCTATCATCCTATAAATTTCAGATAATTTGGTTATGAACTTACTTAAAATAATTTATGCACTAGCGAGCGACTTGGGCTAAGATTTAAATCAATCAATACACGAATTGACTGTAATCACGTGATTTGGCTCTAACATAGTATATACAATTAATAACTTTCATAATTAACCATAATAATTCTAATAAAAGTAATATTTTCATTTATTAATATTCCGAAATTATAATTATCATATGCTTTTTTAGACAAATAACTCCCCCCCCCCCCTCACACCCACTTCCCTCCTCTCCCTCTTTATTATAAAATTCAATTTTCGGTTTAACTATACTAAAGAAAAAAGATATCCTTTTATATATAATTGCTTTATGTTGTAATATAAAGTTTATTTTTACTTTTTAAAAATAAATAATTTTTCTTCCCCTTATTAACTATAATATTCATGCGCAAAAAAAAGTATAGAAACATAATTGGTTTTTTTAAAAAAAGAGCTTTTTCTTATGAAAGCTAGGTAAAGGTAATAAAACAATTTTTTTAAATAGACTATTATATTTAAAATCTTTTTTAAAAAAATTCTAAAGTTCAAAACTTTCAAAATTTTAATGAAATTATGTTAATTTTTGAAATTTATAAAATTTTCCAGAATCATATTTTGGACATGATTTAATTTTTATATTTAAAATAGCATGTTTACTTATTTTAATTAAAGTTTCAAAAATTTGTGAATTTAATTTTTTTTGATATTTTGGGCACAGCCTTAAAATAATATCAAAGTATTATTAATTTTTTATAAAAAATAATGTAAAATATTCGCTTTCATATTTGATTTTAAATTTAACCTAATCGAAAGTAATCGAATAAATAAAATAATGAATGTACGTTTGTGAAGGTCAAAGAACGGACAAAAATATTTTTTGTGAAAGAAAACCAGTCCTCATTTCCGGTTTTTCATTAATCATCTGGAATTTTTTTTTTTAAACCGGATGGTGGTATAAAACATATTTATAAAAAGGAAATCCGATCAAAAACGGGTTTAAAAGTCTATCCGAATCTGGTCTGGCCTAATCAACGGTTAGTCCGTCCTAGATCACATGGTTGCGGTTATCAAATAGAGAAACTAGTGTATTTATTGCCCCTAAAAAAACTATATATACACCAAAAATTATATTATGAAACGTAATCATTCCACACGGTAGAACGAAAACGTACTCTTCTAGTAGCCTTAATTAAATTTGAGTATTTGCACAAAAAAATTTTATTATTAAAGGGAAGTGTGGGGGGGGGGTTCAACAAGTGTTTCTTTTTTTTCTAACCAACTAAATAAATATTTATTAAAATCGGTGAAAAATATTATTAGGTTATTTAAAACTTTTGAATTCATGTTTTACTTTTCAACTCCATACCGCTTGAATTTTAAACAATTTTTCCAAGAACAAAATTTATAATTTTTTTTATATAAATTATAAATAACTCAAATGTTATCAGGAAAATTATCTACGATTCATAGGATACGTATTCTAAACATGCTGGAATATATTTCTGGTAAAATCAAAAATTTTAAAAAGAAACGCACTCAAAAAACGATATAAAGTTGAAAAAAGTAACACATTGACGCCAACATATCATATATACTATCATAATGTTTAATTTTTTACTTGATAAGCCTATGGACAGTTCTGCGTTTTAGAGGGAATATTAGTTCCTCACGGAAAATGGCACCAGCAAGATGACAAGATGCAAAAAGCGTTCACACTTCAAAGAAGTTTAAAAAATATATATATATATGATAATCATTTTATATAATGTATATAACAATAATAATAATGTTCCTATCTAATCCTGTTTTTTCTGCTCCTCGCACCAATCTGTCATCCAAATCCTCTCATAGGTTTAGGCCCATTAAGCCTTCAACAAATTTACTTCCAACTTTTAGCCTGGTCAATTCTTTTCCGATAATATTAATGATGAAGTGGTTTAGTTTAATTTTTCTACTCGGAAGCAAAAAATGAGACATGACAAATTAAAGGGGGAAAAATTATATATATAGCAAATAATTTCATAAGATATTTCATTTTATTACAATGTTAAAACTATCATGGTCCAGTTATTAAAGCAACTCAATGAATTTTGTTTTTCAGATTATTTCCTTTCATGTTATATATATATATAAGTTCAAAGAATATTCCCGAATGATTTCTCTAGCATAAATCAACCTATGAATTAAAAAAAAATTTTTTTATAATTTAAAAATTGAACAAGGCTGGTCAATTTACACACAAAACAAAATTTATAATCTATTATTAATATATAAAATAAGCATCAACTGACTATTCAATACGGCATATATTTAAACTATTATAAAAGTTACCATCTGGCCAGTTAGTTTATTATTCAGATAACCTGGGAAATTAAAGAGTTTTTTGAACAAAAATAATATTAATTTAAGCCTCAAAGACTTCGCCAATAAATTGTAGAAAGGTTTGGCACGAAATCACGAGACTTAAGTGATATATTCTTTTTTTGACTAATATTCTCGATTAGAATTTTAACAAAATTACTCTCAAAAGTTACTTTTAGAACTCAAGATATATACCTTTAATTTGTATTGTGTCTCTTTATTATATTCCCTATTTTTAAAACAAGCTAATATTTTTTTGTTAAATCCAAAAAGCGTTTATTTAAAAATAACTATATATATCATCTTACCACTTAAGGTATCATTTAAAACTGAAAGCGTACCATATAACTCTTGTAGGGCTAGACCTACAAAAATACGAATCGAATAATGGAAGTATTCGTATTCGTCTAAATCAAATAATTCATTATTAGTATTCGTACGAATAATAAAATGATTATTCGATTCGATTTGTCGAATATTCAATTCAATTCGAAAATTTTATTTAACCGTAAATTAAAAAAGATAGCATATTAAATTTATTTTGTAAAATTTAACTATGGATTAAAGACAAACAAATTTTATTAGTAAAATAATATAGAAGCATATAAATATAGTATATTTATATAACATTGGCGTACGCAGGGGGGGGCAGGGGGACAAATCCCCCCCCCCCCCAAAGCCAAAAAATGCAGATGCCGGTTTATATTTTTCAAAAATATTATTGTTAATATTAATTTATATTTGTTAATAGTTATTCCATATTTAATTACATTTATTTATCACATTCATCTACTATTTTATCAATCAACTTCGATTTCAAGTTTCTTGGCGTAATTTTCCTATTATTTTCAAATTTTAGTGGCGTAATATTTATCTAAATTTCTAGTCAAATAATAATTATCAATTATCTCTGAAACTTGTCCAACAGGGAGAAAGAAATTGCAAACTTGTCCAACGAGAGCGAGTCTCCGCCAAAAGCAGTAACAGCTATTATGGAGTTAGAAGAGCCGATTATTAATGCTATTACTGAAATATCACAATGGCTTGAAAGAAATATTTCCTCAGAAGCAAGAAAATTATTGGATTCAATACTTATTCCAAATTTTTTTTCTCATTAGAATGTATTATTTAATTATACAACTATTTTATGTAATACTTTTCAAAAACATAACATTAACTTGATTAAGAAGATGAGAATAGCGGAGAGCATTTTATTAGAACTCAAGGAAATTACGGCTAATGTTGTTGAAGAATTTCATATTTTATATGTTATTGTTGAGTCAAAAGCAGAGCTATACGTGTTTAATATCTGCCCCCCTCGACTTGCAGCAAGCACATCGTCATAACATTAATATAGGATCAGTAGAAGAGTATTACAAAACAAATGTCCCCTATGCCAACCTTTTTCATATGGTGATAGAAAAAAAATATAAATATTTGTTATATTTTTATCATGAAGAAGTTAAAATATCTTATGATGCCTTATTAGCTGAATAACTATGATTAAAAGATTAACTATGGTTGATACAGTCCCAAAAAATGCTATGAATGCTTTTTATTTCAAACACATTTTAGATTATACTACCAATGTATTAAAATGGTTATATATATATTAGCAGCTCTTTAGTAAAATAATGAGAGAACACTCTCTTTTTTAAGAAGACTAACAGAGCCTTGCATAGGTACCATTTGCAGGACACGGCCCAGATTTTTTTTAAAAAAATTTTTCCAGCTCGGGTTTTTTTTATTAAAATTTTCACGCCCGGCCCGAATTTTAAAATAAATTATATTTATTTTTGATTTTTATAGCTAATAATGACGATTTAAAATATTTGGTTTTAAAATATACAGCTCGGCCCGGATATTTTTTCTAAAAAAATTTTCAGGCCCAGCCCGGGTGTTTTTAAAAAAATTACGGGCCCGGCCCGGGTTAATTTAAAAAAATTGAAATACGGTCCGGCTCGGGGGCCGGGCCTGCAAGTCTGTGGAAAACATACCTATGAAATACAACATCTGAAATTGAATGATTTGGATCTTTTGAATATTCATAGGCATTTAACGCCAAGCAAGGATAGATAATTGAAAAATTAGCTCAAAACATACAAAATACAATTATTCCTAAGAAACTTTTTTGTGTATTAATTTATATTTCCAACATTTAAATTTTTTATACTTTATATATTTTAAAAGCTCAAAAAATTCAAATTTCAATTTTGGGTCATTTAAGTGATTCATAGTTAAATTCACTTTATATTTTATAATTCACATCTATTTTATAGTTTTTCAATGCCGGTTTATATATATAATTTTTTTAATTCACATTAGTTTAAAATTGTGTATTAGAAAAGTTATTAATCCTTTTAAATTTATGCTTAGTATTTTTAATTAACAATAATATTTCTTAAAAAACTTTATTATCCCCCCCCCCCCCAGACCAAATTCCTGCGTACGCGCCTGTTATATAATATTCATATCATGTAGAAGACAAATATAAATATACCAACAACAAATTTTTTAAACACAAAATTTTTGCAAAAAGTCAAATTTATGATTTCTCCATCATCAAACAAAGGAGAAATATCTGGTTCGCCCGTCATTCTTGGCGGGATACTACTAGTTATTTATAACTGTATATGTGTTATATACATATAAATAAATACTTTCTTCGTCCATCATAAAACAATTTTCTAAAGTTAATTTTGTATTATGAATTATTTGAATAAAAACAGCCGTTAACAACATGAAATATAAAATGTTTCTTCATTATTCCTAGGAAATTTTTTTATCCTACTAATAATATATCTGGAATAATTCGATCGAATAATAGATAAAAAATTATTCGACGAATAATATATTTTCCTTATTCGAATTTTCGAATCGAATAATTGTGTTATTATTCGTAAAATACGAATCGAATCAAATCGAATAACAAATAATTCGGTTTAGGTATATGTAGGGCCTATAAGACTCCCGCATGGTAGGTCTTAAGGACTTAAAAAAATTAGTTATAAAGTTTAGACCATGACATACTTTTAGTTAGAAATGATGCTTCATGAGTTTTAAATGATACATTCTTAGGTAAAATGGCTATGAATAATGTTCTTCATGTTAAATTAATTTTTTTTAAATTTGTATAAATTTAGGTTTAAAATGGCTAGCATTTACATGATGGTTCATAGTCAAAATTGATCTAAAATAATTTGTTCAATATAAAAATATGAATAGAACTAGTTAATTTGACCCAATCGAAATAGGGGATTTTTTTCTTCTTTTATTATCAGTTGATCTCTAACCTATATATAAAATATATGAGGTAATTTTGGGATGAGTATATTAATTCTCATAAGATTTTACGATGAAAATAATTTTTTCAGAGATTGACAAAGATATCCCCAATATCTTAAAATTAACAAAGGAGGGTCGCCGACCGTGCTCAATGGAAGTAGAAATGCTGATATTCGAAAAACCAGGTTCAAAGCCTCCAAACTCGATAGGTTAAAGAAAGGAGAATGTATATTTGGTTTCATTTTAAATCGATCTGATCAACAATTTTAAAATTTCAATGTAATTTTTACATTTGAATTTTCATTTTAAAATCTATATACAAGGGACTAACTTTGCCGATCTCTCCATAAAGGGAATAACAAACGCCTAACGTCACTCGATGACGCGATATTTGATCGCATTCTAAAAAATATCTATGAGTTTAGTTTAAATATTTGGTGGGTTATAAGACGTAGTAAAGAAACTTTTATATAAATTATTTGGGGTCAAATAAGTTTCAATAAACTTTTAGAGAGAGTTTATGAAAAGTTGTTGATAGATGTTAAGTGAAGGCATAAAGGAGTAAAAATAGTTCCTTTCCTAAAATCGAAATTTTTTATTCAATAGTCGTTTTTTGTTTGGGGTGGAGGGGAGTTGAAATATTATAATTAATTAATATTTTCAAAATGTGACCGAATGTCGCGTAATCAGGGATCACCAAATCTTTAATAAATGCCCAAAAAAAGATATCAATTTTGGAAACAAAATTTTTTTAATGAATTTATATTTTAAAATTATCTTTAAAAATTTGAATTTTTAAACATTTTTTAATTGGTATATGTTAGAGTTAATGTGTTTTTCCCGCACAATGTGCTATTTTTTCAACTTTAAATCATTTTTTGAGCGCATTTTTTAAATTTTAAAAATCTGATTTTGCCGGAATATGTATGCCGTCATGTTTGGAATACTACCTACCCTATGAATTTCACATGATTTTTCATGAACTCTAAAACTTAATATAATTTATATTAAATTTCCATATATTTTTTATATAAATTATAAAGGACTCGAAGGTTAACAAGCAAAGTTG